AACTTCATTAGGATCAATTACTCGGCAGAATGTTTAAACGATTGATTTTATTCGGGTCTCATTCGTTTGTCCAGATACCGGGTCATTAGTTATCCTGTTTACGGTACACACAGCTTCGGAAACTTGTGAATACGGTCACCGCTGCAAAGTGCATATTCAACGTGGCGTTCTATTGGCGTTTCGGTTCAGCGGGAACGCCGCTGAGGCCGCAAAAATATTTGTTCCGTTTTCGGTATGAATATCGATAACTCTTCCGAACGGAATCGTTTTAATCCTGTCGTGACAGTATTTGTTTTTCTATAATTCGATTTATTTCTATCGCTGCAATAAAACAACTTCGACAACTTGGAATTAGTGGCACATCGTTAGTTGCAAAGGAAATTGTATGAAACAAAAACTTTTATTACGAAAGCTGAACGAATTGTTGATTACTACTGCAATCATCTAGTCGTTTCACCAATGCCACTTATTTTCTAATGTATAACTGTTACGAACTTCCGTTAGAGACTATTTAAATAAACATGAATTTTAAATTTATCTTAATCTGCGAAGGTTTATATACTCTTCATTTCTGTTGACAGAAAATATTCAATACTCCTTTGACCAGTTAGTTGTATTGTCCTTTTTTAAAAGTGTGTACCTAAATTGCTTATTGCGCTTATTGCCAGGATTTTTTATTATAATCAATATATATATATATATAAATATTGTTATAAATTGTTATAAATTGTTATAAATTGTTATAAATTGTATATATATATACAATTTATAAGTATTTTTATATTTTTCATTTATATAAATATGTAAATATTGTTAGATTCTTGAAATTTACAAATATACCTCAGTTTTCATTCAAACGTTCCGTTGAAAATTGTAATAGTAAATGTCAACTACTTTCTACGCATAGCGCAAAAAATGGCCATTTTTTCATGTCGAGCATACTCGCCATAAACAGAAAATTCGTTAAGAAGAAATATCACGGAAGATACCGAACTGCTGAACTTTTCAAAACACTTCCCAGAACTTTGTATCCGCAGGTCGTTAATCTCGTCTTAAGCCATTCCCGTTTAGATGACGAAACCATCCCAATTAAGTGTTTATATATTCCAGTACAAGTACGCAACAGGCTGATGGGGAATCCCGCCTTTGAAATGCGTGACGCACCATGGGAAAAATGAATAGAATTATACGCAACGGTCTTTCGATCGAACGTTTCCTAGAAATGCTCGTGAGAGTGGATTACGTAAGGGTGCGTTACGATTCTAATGTGTCCCCAGCGTGAAGAAACGAATGCTCGAACCGTATTCTCACGAAATTGAACCGCGTCTGGCTTCGATCGATTGCATCGTCGCGACTCGAGCAAACGAACCGTGGAAGCGTTTGTAGGCTTAACGTCGAAAGTGCATTATAAATTAACCGTGTGTCCTTTCAATGGGCCTTGGTACTTTCCTATCGCGTAAAGAACAGGGCGATATAAAGAGTGGGTTAGCAACATGTGACGAGGCTAAGAGAACCGGCGCTTATTAAAGATATACAAAGAAATTACAATATTCCGTGTTTCATACAGTAGACCATTTACCTGTTAACGACTATACGAAATTGAAATTCAATGAAATTCGAAGCCATGCCTAGCATTTATTCTTTATGAAAAGTAAATGACGACTAATAGATTTCAATCGGATAAGTGGGAGAGGAATAGTCCACTTTTTCTAAAAGAACCATTAAGGCAAAGGCAGTAATTGACCTGGCACCAACAGTTGACCACTTGTCAGAAAAACGTGGAAAATAAGGTTCTTAAAAGTAATATCTTTCCATAAAGGCGCTCAAAAATGTAGTTTCTCATATTAATAAACCTACCAGATCAAGAAAAAGTCGAAACATTTTCTGTTCCTGAATTAGATTTTATACGGAATTAACTTTTCACTCGTATGAAATTAAATTAAATTAATCACCTTTAGTGTTTTTGGTTTCACTATAGGTGGTCGACTGCTAACCAACATAGGTCAGTTACTAGTTTTCTCGTTTTCAAGGATGGTCAACTTCCGACGCAAGCATCGAATGTTCAAAAATGTCTCTAAAATTTGTATAACACAACTATTTCAAAAAGTTCGCTTTGCTACATAATGTAACAAGCTCAAACAGCATTTCCACGTATAGAGTCTCTCTATTTAATAGAGTATCAAGCGTTTGCTATTATTCATGGAGGCAATTTTTCTTATCTGACCAACTACTTGATTTTACCTTACATCATAAGTATCATTGATAACAAAAAAATATATATTCATGAAAGTAAATACATATAGAAACAGAAAATACAAATATTTGACAATTCAAATGAGATCCAACCATCTCACTCCAAATTACCCTACTTTTCATCCATTTTTATACATTGTAGTCGATTATATTCTTCTTACTGAATCTACAAAGCTGCCTCAATGATCAGACCGCCGAAGGAAACCAGGTTGGATGACTTTAATAATCTCGTTACAAAGAAACCAGCATGTACTCTTTCCGAGGAACGTGGACCAGCAACAGGTCCACGAAGTGAAACGTTGAACTATGCTGCGCCAAGAGCGCATACTAATTCACTTTTACTCGAAAATTTACAATGCCGGTGGAGAAGCTGCGGCGCAGCCTAGGGTAGCCGCGGGAGAACAGGAAACGCGCGTGCTCCGCAAAAGAAAGACACGTGTTCCGACAGATCGTATCAGGAACTGTTGGAGCCGCTCCGCGTTGCGTACCCGAAACCGCAAGAAACGCAAAATTGGACCCAAACGCGTGCAATTTCTTTTCCCGCGTTCTCGTAATTGCGAGTGTTTTGCGATCGGGTCGAGCGTACTTGACACTGATTATACCGGTCCGCTCTCGCAGTTCTCCGCGGAAGCACAAAAAAATATTTCTTTTGTGTTGCGCCGGGGATCAACAAACCAGAGCCCGCCTTCTTCTCGTTGAGATATACCTCGCAGCGGTGACACAGATCGCGCGTGCCCTCTAACTAATTTCCGGTGACGGGATGAGATTTCACTTATGCTAATCGTGATGTACCGTTTACGCATACGTGAATAATATTTAATATTCGGTCCGGGGATTTAAATGTAATTATTCGTTTCTCTTAGTTTCAGAGTGTATAAAGCATCTGTTTGTATTTACACTTCTCTTTTTCTTGATATCGCACGTGTTGTTTATCATTTGAGATCTGTTAGATGATACAAGATGAAACGGATTGAGACGGATTGTTGTTTGAAGGATTGAATCATGGAGTTGGGAACAATGAACTATTGCGGCGGAAGATATATTGAATTGGTAGGATCAAAATCGAATAGAATTGTTAAACGTAATTTGTTGTTGTTATTATTATTATTTAGGCATACTTGTAGCAGTTTTCTGGTTTGGTTGTTCAACAATTCATTGCTAAAAAACAGGAATTTATTCATAGTTACTTGTTTTCATTCGATATGTCGTATATTGTACCACACTATTTATATGTAGATTTTAAAGTAAGCAAAACGAAGATTATGTAAAGTCTATTATGATCAGAATTTCGAAGCTTTCTCCATCCGGAATCACAGAATATTGACTACTCAGACTTTCGAATATAAACCGTGTCCTTATCCACAAATTACCTTAACTTTTTACTAGTATTACTATTTTCACCGGAAGATCGATACTTTAATATTTTTTAATTATATGGTTGAATAATTAAAATGTTTGATTAATTACCGTCGATCTTGAATATGTAAAGATTACATATTTATTTATGATTACTGGATTATTATCACTTTTGTGATAAAGCAGATACGTTTTGAAATATTATAATAAAATATTTTAATTTTTGAACTATTAATACTGAAAGTACTTATGCAAGTAATATTGCCGTATCATTTTCCTTTCATTTGTACCTATCGATAACTATACCTCGAAGACTACAGTTGTTAGTTTACACTGTTACCGTTAATAATCATAAAAAATCAATGTGATAATTACTTTCTACAGAAATCACGAAAATAACTGTTATCATTCGAATTCAATAAAAAATCAACGCCATCTACTTCAAATGTTTGAATTCAGAAGTAAATACTTCAATTCCAAGTGAATTTAATATAATCTTTATAAATAACAATTCGGAAACAGATTTTCGTGATTTGAAACAAATGGACCAAAAAAGAAAGCCATTTATTCTTTCACTTCCGTTTCTGCAAAGAGAAAACAACAGTTCTCCGAATTTTAAAATTCATTTCGTATATCATTCAAGATGGTTATGAAACATTTATAATATTATTCAAGATACTATGATTCGCAAAATCATTCCTCTCACAATTGGATCGAATGTGGCAGAAACAACGTTCAGTATTCGAATTGTCAAAAAATTAACGACTGACAGTAAAAAATTGCCGATCAAAGGTAAGAGAAAGTTGTGATAATAATGGTCTACTGTCTGTACACGCGATCGTTAAATAATGTTAACTGTTACAAGTTCATTCGCCAAATTGCACGTTGGTGATATTCAGAGAGAGGTAGGCGTGATCGTAGAAAGTGTTGAGCAAGACGTTGATGTTCATTCAAAATCGAAACAGGATGTCCATGGCTTAATTGTTACCATTCTGAAAGTATATTGTCTCAAAAGGAAGGTTCAGGACTTAGCGTTGAAAATAATGATTAATACGAATAAATTAGAAAATAAATAAAAGAGTGATAAATATCAATAAATTACTTAACTATATAATAACTAATTAAAATTAATGAAGAAAAGTTCCAGTATTATTTATAACTATAATTAATAATGTTTCTACATTGTTTTTAACTCTTACAAAATAGAGTTTATATTAAAAGTCCTATAAAATGAGTAATTTAAAAGAAATAATTTAGTTAATCCTTACCCTTAAAAAATACCTCTATCTAACTTTCTGAAGGAATTTTCAGAGATCTAAATATAAGTTCAGTCTCATAAGAATATAAGTTTCTTGATTGGATTTGGTACCAAAAATAAAAAAAAACTTTTCTTAAAAAGTACGACCACTTTATTTTAATTACATTAGTTGATATTTTTGTTACATAAGAAAATTAAAAAATATATCGTTTGTGTATTACACTTTCTCTCTTAGAGTGTTTTTACGGAAAGATTACTTAATGAATTCCTGATACCTTTCAACGACCTCCAAAAAGTAATCAAGAAACCGAAAGAAAACTAAAAAAGGCTACGAGGATTATGTGAACAATAAAATTCACGTAATACTGTGATTAAATAATACATTTCTGGCAGTGTGCTAACCGCGCGTTTTTAATTAATACAAAAAAGTGAACTACATAATAAAAAATTAACTCCAATAAAGTACTGAATACATAATACCAAACGAATTGGTAATAATAATTTAAGCTATAATATTTAGTGTAACAATATTATACTTATATATTTTATGTCTTATATTTATTCTTTTTTTATAACAAATTATCAAAATATAAACATCTTTCCAAATAACAATGTAAACAAGCCTTTAATATCAATAATATAAGTTACTTTCTAAAATTATCAATATGTCAATAATTTCAAAATAGCATAAAATATAATTTCATAATTAAGTATGTATATTAACATTATTATTGTAGGAGTTATTTATGTAGATTTTCCACTGCCTTTTCCAAAAGGAGGAAAATTCTTATTTGTTGCAACTTTTTTATTCATCATAATACCTCGTCCTCCAATTGGAGGAAAATCAGCCTTATTAAAAATATCATTATTGTTGTCTGATTCGCTCATTGCTCGTGCCATAGTCTTAGGTGGTCGTAGAGGTCGTCCAGGTAAACTTAGATTACCAATTGAATTATGTTTACTATGATCAATTATTTCTAATGTTTTACTTTGGTTGCGCCGTCGCTGCTCATCCTTACAAGTTCTTTCAGATACCTTTTGTCTATGGTCTTCACTTACTCCAGTCATAGAGACAAAGCTACTCTCATCATTTAAAGTTAAGTTACACATATGAAAATCAATAGTGTTATTGGTAACTTCAAAGTTTGGTCGGATGAGAGGACAATGAATCCCTTCAATCATTGGTATGTGCAAATGTTCACAACAGTAGTCGCATATTGTGAAACACCATTGTTTTACTTTAGACATACTACAGTACACAGCTGCATCTGTGCTTTTATGAAATTCACACTCAAGACCGCCAACAAAAGCAAAAAGTTCTTTTTTGAACTCATGCTCTGCTACTACAAGAGGAATACTGCAGCTGTCTTCATTTTGTGCAGCAGCATTTCGCAGTCCTGCAAATAGAGCTTCCAAAGAATATATTACAAAGTCATCTGTACTCTTACGAGAAGCATTACACATTCTATTCAACAAAGATTCAACTGCAGGAGCCATATCTTTAATAGTAAATAATGGTGGATACTTGTCTCCAGTCATATTTGATCTTAATAATTTTACAAAATTGTCATACATATACGCAAAGTCACTTTGCCCATCTGGATGCTCTATTGTAATTTTGTGTGTTTCGTGACTAATTTTTAATGCATCTCCTTTCCACCCCAATGGTATTTTAATATTGATTATCTCATGGTACATGTTCTCAACACCATGGCCTAAACTAAATTCTCCTACAGCAAATTCAGCAGGACCAAAATCAAACTTATTGATTCCTATTTCTTTTCTATAAAACCAATTTACATGTATCAATATAAATTTTAACTTCTCCAAACTATTGTGTTGAGTGCCCATGGAGATTACAGAATCTATATACTGTAACATATTTTCTTGGAATTCTTGTTCATTCTTTTCAGCAAGAAGGATTTCATCTATATTTTCTCCTAATGTTGTTTTTTTAGACAATGATCCTTGAGCTTGAATTTTGCTATCCTTTGCTTTCGACTTATAATATGCTTTTTGCTCATGTGACAGACTTGCCCAATCTTCATTTAATTGGGGATCCCTTTGTACGTCCTTCAAACCATGAGGAAATTTTTTTCCACGTTTTTCTTGTTCTAATTTCCAGTCAACCATAAAGCAGAAGAATGCATTCATTCCTTTATTGTTCTTCGGCATTTTTTTTTATTGAAATCTTTCCTTAGTGATGTTACCAACTATTAAACATCCCAGTCCAGTGAGATACAAACAGCTGTGCCTGTTTAATATAATAACTTATATATACAAATATTATTTATTAAAAGGTGTAATGGAAATTAAATTATTTATTATTGAATTAATTATGGAATTATAATTTTCTTTATTCAAAATAATAAATAATAATATAAATTTATTAAAAATTAGATACAAACCTCCAGAATTTACTTCTGTATAAGCTTTTGTTTGAAATATAGATACTCAGCACATTGTTGATACGTGTAACCTGCTAGTATGAATAAACGTAATACAATAATTAAACAATAAGCAATTGAGGTTTTTTAGATAATACAAAAATACTAGTAATTGAGTTCTATTTTTACTGATCCTTGATTTTCAACAATGTATACTTTTATTACCGGTTAAAAATTTCTTTCACTAAGGTAAACCGTCAACACAACGTAAATGAGAGAGGTCAGGACGAACACAACTGGATACAACAGTGGTACATATACCGGCGTATCAGTCACATTTAACCCAGGCACACTGCTATTGGTGAATTTGCATCGTTGATGTAAACAAAATTAAGATTACTATCTTATTATTCTCGACTTTCATTTCAGTTTAGTTTTGAAAATAATCTAATAAAATATCATGCCATGTCTTACATATTAATCAATTTAAACCAAAATTAATAATATTTACATGCCATCGTTGAAAACCGTAAAGTAAAAGATATAAAACAATACCACTTGAGTCATTTAATAGTCCTCGGATATATCAAATTAAGTCTTATGCTTACTTAACGTTTCATTTAATGTGTAACTTCAATGTTTCAAAATAGTGAGTACGCAGCAGTAGGTAAGTATGCACCGTAATCAATACACAATGACTTATAGTTAATAATGTGACTGTAGGTACAGTAATCACGTGACATAATCCTCTAGAGGATTTGAAATTTGAATCAGAATTTGTGAATTGAACATATACAGTGAGTCACAGCCAAAATCATACATCACATATACGAATACGTTTCATCTCGTGAAAAAGTTCAGGAAAGATATGGGGGAAAAAATATCATGAATCTATATTGTAAATGTATCTATATTTATTATATAGTAGTATCAAAGGGAACAAAGTTGTCTAAATATAAAAAAAAACTAAGTTACTATGATTCAGTCTGGAAGACGTCTCACAGCTAAAATCGTACAGTATATATATTTTGTAATATTCCCCAAGGGGAATCCCTGAAAACAAATGAAAATTATGGAACAAATGAAAGATTACATTGTTTGGCGTATTCGCAGTTGTCATTTAGCGTCGTAAGGTTCGTAGTTGAAAAAAAAGAGAAAGATAGTAATAATGAAGCAAGCAACGATAGAAGAGCGACAAATAGTTATAAGAAATTTTCAAAGTGGAAAAAGCTATCGTGAAATTGCGAAGATTATTGGTAGAAGTGCCAGTACTGTTCAGTATATTGTAAAACGGTACCAAAACGAAAATAGAATAAGTAATGCGTCAAAAAAAGCTCCAAAGAAAAAGTTCAACGCGTATGACGAAAGATGGATAGTACGAAAAATTAAAGAGAATCCGAAGATCAGTGCACCTAAACTTACTAATGAAGTAGAAACATATTTAGGGAAAAGTGTAAATCCAGAAACAATAAGAAGAGTACTCAGAAAACATCATTTTCACAGTCGTACAGCTCGGAATAAGCCTCTTATAAACGAGAAGAATAGAAGAAAGAGACTAGATTTCGCAAGAGAATATATATACAAAGATTTTGATTTTTGGAAAGAAACTATATTTACGGACGAAAGTAAATTTAACATATTTCATTCAGATGGAAAAATTACGGTGTGGCGTCGACCAAATGAGGAGTTTAAAATACAAAATTTAAACAGTACCGTGAAACATGGAGGGCAATCAGTAATGGTCTGGGGCTGCATGTCCGCTGCCGGAGTGGGTAACTTAGCATTTATCGAAGGTAACATGAATAAATATGATTACATAAATATTTTGAAAAACAATTTGAGGGACAGTGCCGAAAAATTAGGGATTTTGAATTCATTTAAGTTTTATAGCGACAATGATCCCAAAAACACATCGCATGTAGCCAAAATGTGGGTACTGTATAATTGCCCTAAAGTACTAAACGCACCTCCACAATCACCTGATTTGAACGTGATAGAGCACGTCTGGAATGAATTAGAGATTAGAATCCGGAAACATACTATTAAAAATAAAAATGATTTAAAAAGGGTATTAATGGAGGAATGGAGAAAAATTGAACCCAGTTTTACTGAAAAATTGGTAAAATCTATGCCAAACAGATTGCGTGCGGTAGAATGTAGTCGTGGGCACCCAACAAAATATTAATTTTTAATTTAAACAAATTGTTGGTCACTTTTCTACAAATGTACGATTTTAGCTATGAGACGTTTTCCAGGCTGAATTATAGTAACTTTGTTTTTTTTATATTTAGACAATTTTGTTCCTTTTGATACTACTACATAATAAATATAGATACATTTACAATATAGATTCATGATATTTTTTCCCCCATATCCTTCCTGAACTTTTTCACGAGACGAAACGTATTCGTATATGTGATGTACGATTTTGGCTGTGACTCACTGTATATCATTGTAGTATATTATCTATCAGAAAATACTTCTCCTTCGGAATTAATTAAATGAAATAGTCTAAAAGCTTCAAATAAGTATGAATGTAGTTAATTTTTTGATAGTCTAGGCCAATATATTTATACATATTAAATTGAATTTATCAAATCAGGCGAAATTTCTCATCCTTGACACTATCCAATTTACGTCACGATTGGGTCTTTTTTCTGCATATTCCTGTCAATCAAGTAAATAATTATTTAGGATATAAAATTAATAAAAATAATAATTATTCATACAGTGCTTCGTTTCTAGGATAATCGGATTTAAACATTTTTATTTAATAAAAATCGTTTACCGTGTAGGACAGTTCATTGAATGGATTACAAAAAGAATAGTGTTATAATCAATAAAATCTATGTTCTTGTAAATTTTACTTTTTATTTCATTAAGAAGTATATATCTAGGGGAAAAGGATTAATAATATTTGAAGAATGGTAGAATAACGTTAACATTTTTATATTTGCTGTTCGACATTTTCTTTATTTTCTAAGTGCACAATACGATTGAACCCCTTTTTAATCAAATTCGATGAAAAAGAGACCGTACTGAACGCCATAAGTACAATTAATTTTGATCATGTACAAAACGTTCATCTGTATTTTACCTCTTCTTAAAATCTAATCAGTCATACTTCATATTCTAACAATAGATCACTCGTAATCATGTGAGACAACCTAAACGCCGAGTAGAATTTAACTAAAACTATATTTCGAGCCAGAACGAACAAAAAAATGAGTTTTTCTTCGAGCGAGTTAAATAAATAGGAGCCTGTCGTCAAAAACAATAACATCTATGCACATTGTTTGCTTTTTTAACAATCGATATTTAACAACTCTGGTGTACCAGCTATAATGAAGAATTGCATGTTTCAAATTGTTACTAAAACTAGCGAAACATAAAACATATATTTATAATGATTAAGGATTAATGTAGTATATATTACAAAACATGAAAACAGTGCAATATAAATTACTTCAATATAGATGCTTTGTTACGGCATCAAATTACGATCATAACTTTTCCGTTACTATTTTTATGAACTTCTTACGATGTCTCTACGTCGTTCACTGAGAATAAATTTCTTTTTACAGTAATACAAAAATATTTTACTCATATGTATTGCTTCTTTTCAAAATTGCAAAAATAATCTTGTAACTCCGTAGAACTTTTGCTCTCCGCGTAATGTGTTTCTTCATTCGACATATCGTTACGAGATATTACAATACCGATTATTTTTCTAGAAGTTATTGCTTGTTAGGCGCTTCTCTCCTTTAGATTTAATCCCTCGGACTCACTCAAGTAATTTTGCTTGCATTCTACTTTCATGCCTTCGTGTGTTGTTTTAAATCGTTCAATTAAATCAGCCTGATTCATTTCATAAAATTGAATAATTGAGTTTCAAGTATATTCTATTCAACCATCGATGTTATGTTTTATTTCTTCTTTGCAATTTAACGCATTAAGAAGTATTTTTAATAGTATTACGATCAATAATAAATTATAAGGTAATTGAAACGTACTTGTTAAAATAAGTTCGCTTATTTCCTCTCGTAAAAGGAAAGAAATAAAAAAAAATCAAATATTCTTTTCCATTTGTTACAACGAAGAATGAAGCAAGAAATGAACCAACAAACAAATCCTTTCAAGCAACGTGATCTGATAGAAGGCTCGTCTACGATACGAACTAAGCGTATGAAATTCAAAGATAGCTACATCTACAATCTCCAATTTCTGTCTTGTCTCACTCTGTTTCTACGCTACTCTAAAATAAAACCCTCTGAATATAATAGTCTTTCTGGAGCTCTTTTTAATACCTGCATTTATTCTTCCTTTCTGCAAACTCCTGTGCGCAGCACGCGCAGTCCCGTCGCGTGTTCATTTAATCGACTAGTCACTTTGTGGATGCACCTTATCGTTTTCTTTCTTGACTGCTTTTGGTGCATGCCGTTTTTCATTGAATTCCCCTTCATCGTGCCCGTTCGTCATGCGCGCTGGTACACGTGGCTTTAACAAATACCTCTTTTTTTATTTACTTCTGATTACATGACGACGTTGAGACCCAATCGTCAACATTCTTCAACTATCGGTATCCGATCGTCAGACCGCAGTCTCCATCACGCCCGTTGTGCAGCTCGGGTAAATCGATGCGGCAATGTGACCAGCCAATTAAGGGGGGAGTTCAACGATACGCTTTAGCTCTTTCTGCCCAGGCAAAAAGATCTACACTCGGGATGGCTTCAAAGTCTGTGCAAGATCTCAGCTCATTCCTACAAGATATAATGATTGATTTGTTTATGAAAATCTGTGTAACTTCCAAATATATAAATAAGTTTAGATATTAATATTTACTGAATTCAGAAAAGTACTTTATGAAATTACTAAAAATAAGAGACTAAAATATTGAATTAAGAAATAATTAAACTTACCCTGGTTGCGGTTTCATGAAAACATTCGATTGCATGAGTGTGATGTTGTTACCATTATCACAAAATACTCTTGCTAATGTCACGTTACGTATTTCTGCCAGTTGTTCTGCAACAAATATTAATAGGTATTAACATCAAAACAAATTACTCGGTTATACGTGACACATTCTGTTATAACCAAGAAATGTAAAAACTTGTATGCGTAGTAAATTAAATAAGAACTATTAACTGTTGATATTACTTACCGAGAGTGAAAGGATATGGTTGATGTGCAGAATCATAAAAGTATCTGTCGGTGCGACGAGTTCTTGAAAACTGTTCAAAGATCAAGCAGCTGAATGTAGGGCCTAACAAGCCATCTGATGTTACTGGTCTTTCAAGCATGCCACCAACAATGAGATCAACGTCGTCAGGGCTTGCATAAATTGTGCGCAATTTCTTGAGCATCTATTTGTAAAAATACAATATGTTATAGTATATGTCATATTTTTCATTATATACGTAATATTCAATTACCAAAAATACTATCAAAATTATAAAGAAAGATATTTACATAATATCTAAAAGTCTGTATATTTAAAATATGTACCTCCATCGGAATATGATCTAAGAAGTCATCAAAATTCTTTGCAGATGGAAGTCCACAGTATTTACGATACTGGTTGTAGCCAGGTAAGGCATGGTCGCGACCACGCTGTATGTCCAAACTGACAGCGTCTAAACCTAGGCTATTTTGATTTTCAGCGTAGAATTTGCTTGTTACCTGTAAATATACGTATAATTATTTCATCACGTTAAAAATTTGTTACTTGATTACATGTTGCTTGCTATATACTTACGTCCGAAATGATGTTCATGTCCATTTTCTGACTAGTCTGAGTGACCATACCTCGGAGGAGACCGTCAAACACTTCATCCGACTCGATTATACTAGGCTTGTAAAAGTACTCCACTAATGAAAGCGTGTGATTGACGCGACGCGTGTTATCTGTCAAGCTAGAAAACAAAAATAAGGGTGTCAGATGATCGACTCTAGGTGAAGTAATTATATGTCCTCGAACAATAATATATATCATACTTATTGAAATAAAATAAGTAACGTCACACACCTCAGAGTTCCTTGCATCAAGGAAGTCAAAAATCGTAGAGCTGCCGTTGCAACTTCGTTACTGACCGCTGGATCATCTTCAGAATTGTAGACACGACTGTAACTATTTCCAAGTGAAATTCCAACAGCTCGAGTGTACTTCCTGCCCAGTAAAATGGGCAACCACTCTTTGTACGTGATATGCTGAATTTCAGCAATCACTATTCGCCTGGCTTCTTGAAACAATGTTTCATCTGACCAATAAGGATTCAATTCCGCAAGTTTTTCAGCAATTCTATTGTGTTCACGGTGCCAAATGGTATGCATCACAGCCAATTGTGGATGCGTGTTTACGCGATGATCACCTGTAACAATAAATCATTCATAGATATAGTTACAAAAATAATGGATAAGTTTACATATTTTATAAACATTTGAAAAATAAAACAATTTTCAACATTGTAATTCTATAATTACTTTCTAAAGGTAGAACTTTTTATTATGAGTGATATAATATATTTAAGAAATTACATTTCGAAAGATATTCAATTATTAGCAGAAATATCGAAAAATGTTAAAAGGTATTAAGTATTACCAGAATCGTAACAGCCTTCTCTACACGCAGACCCGACTTCTACGGTGCCAATAGGTAGAAACTCGTGGTTATTGTCTACATGAACCCGTAAACGACCTCCATCAAACTCGCGTAATTCGCGGGACTTCTTCAACGTAGAACCATAGATCATTGAACCATCCAGAAAATGACTGGCTTGGTTCATCTGTAAATGAAAAGTAACAATCAGTTTGTTTAAACGAACATTCCATTGAAAATATTGCAGACATGTTTAATTACCTGTTCCACTGGTCCAAATGTGCATTCTGGTTTAAGAACAGGCAACGATCGCACGTAATTTATGCATCGAACGTAATGCTGGCCATAAACGGGATCTCCATCAGGTACTGTAATTGCAGCACAATCGGGATGAACATGACGTGGAGATAAGCTGCTTCCATCAGATTGACAGCATGAAATTGGCTTTCCCGATGATACTGAAAATCACAATGTAACGAATTAAATTATATTTATTACGTTCGTATTGCCTCGATGTAAATAATTCGTTGTATCAGACAAATATCGACATGAAGTATAAAATAAATTTTTTAGTAGAATTTGGAGAAAGATTTCCAATAAAATGTAATCTATAAATAAACTATACCCAACATATATACTCAATAAACTATAAATTATTTCAAATATTTTCAAATAAAGGAAAACCCTCTTATCTTAAGAAACAATAAGTAGTTAACCCTTTGTACTCCAAAAGTTTTTCATTAAAAATAGGCAATATCATTTGGCGAGATATAAAACGACATTCTTTGAAATTGACCGACGAAGAAATCACATATAAATTAAGGAACATTGTGTAAAGCTTAATATTCAATATTAAATTTAATAATTTTGATCTATCAAATCGTATGGTGACTGAGAGGCGCCTCTGGAGTGCAAACAGTTGAAGTACCAGAAATCTAATAACATTTATTATAAAATTCACGATCAAGACACTTACCCATTTTACGTACTGGCGTATAAGAAATGTCATTAGCAATGAACTGACTCCATTGCATTACCGTCAACGTTCTACTGACATCTGACTGATCATTAGAAGTCGACAAAGCCACGCTCACGGTCCTAGCACCTGGTAGCGGTTTTCTCGCTTCTCCCGTATGCCTCGGCTCTTGAATTCCTGGTCGCCAAACGAAGCATTAGAAACTGATACCTCAGACAACTCTACGCCGTGGAATCGGAGTAAATCAGTACTACGTTCAAGAAGAGGGATGCACTTAATCGTACACCCGACCAATCAACCGCAATGGACAATTTAAATATGTTCAAACAAGTTTTCTGTCTAGCTCTCACTCAATCCTCCATCCCCTAACTATACCATTACCATCGAAAACTCCAAAGAATTTTAAACAATTCCCCATTTTTAATTTCAAAACGAAAAATTCAATTTCTTATAAAAAAAGAACAAACTATTAACAATATCAACTTTGACTCATTTGTAAATAAAAAGGAGACAATCTTAGAATATAGAAAAAGTAGTCAGTTAATGTTTCTTAACTTCTAATTGATAACATTCAATGAAAGATAAAGGTACATAAAATAATTTTTTTCATCTCTCAAATACTTTGTCTCATAAAAGGTTGAGTGAGGTGTCGCATTTGCGAACACTGTCGCTTACGCTTCAATTCCCAAGGTTTCCGTCGAACAGAAAGAAATTTTGCATGTTACTCCGACTCCGACGAACTTTGGGTTTGTGTGCGAGTAAACATTGTTCGTGCAGCGCGAGAGCGAGCAACGATTTGCGCGTCTCGTTAGGAATTGAGGGACACCTCTGCGCGGATCGCGGGCCTAACTGCGCCTAAAACCTGCATTCGAACGCGAGCTAACGGTCCCTGGGTTTTCCGAATCGTCCGTAACGCTGACCGGACCCAGCAAGATCGACGACATCGGCAAACGGTGGCTCTCGCGCTGCATCGCAAAGGTATAAAAGTACTTTGTTCTACTTCGACATGGTGTTCTGATGCGTTATCGACGAAACGACGCGCTGAGAACGCGTCCTCGTTGGCGGTTCTCATCGGTTTCATGAAATATGCATTCGGCAATACTGATGGTAACTTAAACGAACACGTCGAGAACGCTCGCAGAAAGAATCGATCAAGTGACTTATCTAGATGGCTGATGAAGGTGCCCGAGCGAGAGGATCAAACTGGGAGATGATCACCGTAACACTCTGAGTGCAACGAATTTCATTTCCCGGTGGATAATCGAACATTAAGTTTCCAGCATTCGAATTAGAAAAAGACTTTGAATCGTTAAGGGTATGGTTCAGGACACCCTCTACGGCTCCCAATTTCTATTCGTCTGTCTCGGACACCTTTAACGAGACCCGTATACCGCAATCAACAGAAAATATTTCAACTAGTGTTACAATAATAAATATGATACATTATTAGGTATATCCGAATTAGTTTACATACACATTCTACTGCTGGATAGAATCTCCCGACCGGGGCACCCTATTGTAGGCAGTATTATTCACTGCTACACTCAGGCATTTTATGCTCTATGTGCCTTATCGTACAACAACTGTAATGCAAATCACAGAATATATTTTGTTAACCCAATCGACGAACGATCTTTCTCATTTTATCCATTAGCGCCCAGGGATCAAAGAGTGTGTTCGTTTTCTACGTTTTCGCTTTTACGTATC